CGATCTGATCTGCTGAGCCATCCGCGCACCTGCTGCTAGCACTGGCTCATTGTCGTAGGCCAGCTCAACACGCTCCATGTAGCCTAGAGTCGAACCAAGAAAATGGGCCATCAACTCTCCTAGAACTCCAGCATTCTTGTTCTTCACCGGCGCGACATGCACGAACTTGGACCAAACATCAACCATCAGCAAAAGTGACAACGATGCTGTGTTGAAGAACATGTCAACTTGTACTGTGGAATACGTTCTCAATGCTGCATCTGTGCCTTCTGTTGAATGCTTGTAGTCAGCTTTTGCTTTGCCCATGACACAAAAACTGCACCACTTCTTGTACGGTAAATGTGTGATCTCATGCAGCTTTCTTTCTCGTTCACTTGGTTGTTTTGGCTCTTCTCTCATCTTTGGTTCTGGATGTGCCAATGCAAATTCTAGCCTTGCAACTTCAAGTGCTCTCTGCTTCAATGAAAGCTCATAAGAACTTCTGATGCGGTCAAACACTTTCTTCTTTGAACCTGAACTTGGAATCTTCAAGAACTTTGCTGCTTGTCTCAAATCCTTCATGTTGGAATGTTCCGTCAACTCCATGTCGCCCACATGAATGACCTCTTCTGCTCCTTCTCTTGGTCGTGGCTGAAATTCCAGCTCACCTGCAGGCACATCTTGACCATGCACCTCCTCCGTTGGAATCTCCTGTCCAACTTCCTCCGCGGCCATCTCATCTTCCTCTACTGCGACATCTGGAGTCAACAAATCACCTCCTCCATCAAGCAGCGCGCCGAAAGTCGAAAGATTCTCGGCTTTCTCTGAAAGGATGGTGAGAATGACAAACTGTTCATCCTCTGGGATCTCTTGAATCTTTCCAAAAGGTTCTTCTAGTTCGGCATACTTTTCTGACACTTCCACAACTGTCCATGTGTTCTCACTGTCTGCAACACGTTGGATCAACGTTGTTCGGTATGCAACATTGCCAGACCATACCACACGGAGATCAATCAGGAAGCGTCCCAATGTCCTCATGAAAGGATGTTTATCTTCCACACGCGAAACACCGTACCTTCTGTTCTGCTGGTACGCTGGGGCAATCTGAACAATTGCGCGTACCTCAAACTCCTCTTCGGCCTTGGCAAACATCTCAACTCTGCACACCTTTGCGTCTATGGCCAACGAATTGCGTTGATAGTGAAGGGTATCTGAACTTCACCATGAGGACTCTTGAGAACCAAGCCACTGCTTTCTTGAGCCACACTCCAACCTCTCTTGTAGAGTTCTCCCAAGGAAAGAATGCAACTCTTCACATCACCAACAATGAATTGGTGTCTCAACTCAACCTCTTCTCCTGTCAAGGCATCTTCATCTTGAACAACAAGCGTGGCGTCTCGACAACCTCCTGCTTTCAATGCTGTTCCTTGACAATCTTGGAGTCGAACTGCTGTGGCCTGCATGTCCTGTGCACTGAAGCACATAGGAAGCAAGCTCACATCTGATCCTGAATCCAAGATCACAGAAGTATATTGTTCTACCTGTCCGGATTCTCCTGTGGTCTCTTGAATCAACACCATGCGCACACTTGAAGATACTTCGCTTGCCATGGATGGAGGGCCAATGTGAAAAATTCTTCTGACAGCAGTGTTCAACGTAGAAGTGGAAGATGGTGGTGCGGTTGAAGCTACTGATCCTCCTGCCGGTCTCTGTTGCTGTTGCGGTGGCACTTCTGTCACCTGCTGAACTCTCTGCGGACAATCTCGGGACCAGTGACCAAAACCTCTGCAAATCCGACGCTGATTCTGTTCAATGCCTTTGCCTCGACCACCATTCTTGCCCTTCTGCTTTCCTTTGCTTCCTTTCTTTCCTTTGAACTTTCCTTTTCCTTTGAACTTTCCTTTGCCTTTGTTGCCTTTGTTGCCAGGATAGTAAGGAAGCTGAAACCACTTGCCTTTACCTTTGCTTTTGCTCTTGCTCTTTCCTTTGCCCTTGTCCTCAATGCGGTCAACCTCCATAGGAACAGGGCCTCCATCTGCTCTGGGCACACCTCCATCTGTCTTCACCGTCAGACTGCGAAGAATAGACTCCTGATTCCATGTCTTTGAAGCTTGTTCATGAGACAACATAGTTTCTCTGACATTCTGATAGCTACTGCTCTCAGTGATCGTCAAAGTCAGATGCTCACGCAACTTGCTTTCTGCACAACGAATCAATGTTGCAATCTTCAACTCCTGAGGGTATGTTGTTGAACTCAAAGTCTCAAACTCTTGCACCAAACGCTCATATTGCACAATGCACTCTAGCGCGCTCTTGTCTTTTGGAAATGCTGGATAGCTAGCTAGTGCCTGTGCCACTGCCAATGACCTGCTTCTCGTCGAAGGCAAGAACTCTTGGTGCAACAACTTCCACAACTTAAATCCGTCTTGAGTTGATCTCTCCGCTTGGACCATGTTGAGACATTTTCCTTTCATGTAGCTTGTCAAGATGGAAAACAACTTGATGCTCAATGCTTGTTCTTCTGTGCTGTAGTCTGCCATGCTCGGCACTGTATCAAGTTGTTCAACCTTCTCCAACAATGCTTTGAACTTTGGCTCCCCGAAATTCAACCAGGATGTAAAAACAAACTTCCAAGTCATGAAGCTGTGAGGATCTGAGCCATCGTACGGCTCAGGATTGCGCAGGATCTTCGAAGCCGTTTGAAGTCCAGCCTGTATACTGCTGCTCGAACTCGAACTAGCTCCACCTGTTCCTCCAGCTAAAGAAGCCAATGCCACCTCTGCTGCAGTTGCTGCTTTCGTTGCTGCCTCTGTCATCGCAGCCATCTTCATGAACATCTCCTGATCCATTGCTCTGCCACAATGCAACCAACTTGCAAACAACAATGCATACAACTGCTTTCTCCTGATCTGCTTTGTTCTTGCAAACACTCGCTTCTCCGCTCTTGATTGTCTGTGTTTGCATCGACTCAAGTGGCTCATCATCCAAGTTGCCATCAAGCTAGTCATCCATGCGATCCAGCTCCTTGTCATGCTCATCTCTCGCCACAACCGTTGCAAGAAATCTTCTTTGCACTTCTGAACTGTACCTGCATCAGGCATCTGCTGTAGCAACTTGTCAACCTGTTGGGACAATGCATGAACCGTCTTGTTCATCAACTGCAATGCACCAAACTCTTGAGTAGCACCTTCCCAGCTTGTATTGCACCTGTCATCAAATGTCAAGCGCAAATGTTCTTCATCCAACATGTACACTGCCATGTCGTTCACTGCTTCCCAATGCTCCTGATCAAGCTCTTCACTGATGGACTGATTCATCAGATGTTTGGTGTTCTTGCATGCCACCTGATCATCTGTCTCTTCGATCTCAACCCAGCTGTTCGACTTGCCAGCCAAGCTCAACCGACTCACAATGTTGCTCAATGTTCGACCGACCAATGTACCAGCAATGCGACAACTGCTGCACAATGCATCAATGTTCAACTGACCAACAATGCTCAATGCTTTCGCCTGTCCAACCATCAATGTCCACTTGTCAAGCTCATCGTCCTTCTCGTGCTCCAGGGTCAAATTCAAGCAAGCACTTCCTCGACTTTCCTGCTCAATGCCAAAGGCCTCGAACCCTTGCTTCGAACCGTCAGTCTTCTCGACGCCAGCCTCGAACTGCCAACCCTGGGCCTCAAACCCATCAACCTGCTCCAGTGAACTGAAGCTCGAATTGCTCCGTCCTGGTGAGCCAACGGTCCTCATCTTTTTGTGGTGGTCAACCTCCGTCAGGACGTAGGAGGTGCCAAGCCATCCGAAGTGCTCACATGACCAGCTTGTGGTCATCACCAGCCATGCCATGGCTGCCCAGCCTGGTAGCATCATTGCCCTGGGGAGGGATCCGCTACCATCACAAAAAGCGGCTTCGCCCCTTTTTCCTTATCTCGAGCCACTGTATAGCGGGATGTCGTGAGGCTATGCTCAAACTTGACAGGTAGCACTCCCTGGGTTCATATCCATGTCAACAATGTTACTATATTGTCTGCGCTTTTGCTCTTTTCATTATGTTTATATCACCCGGTCCATCTCCAGGAAGGGGAGTGGGTGTGGTTCCATACATTTCTGCTACTGTAATGTATGCAAATGGGGGGGACAAGTATTGAAAAAGCAATTTCGAACACGGGGGTTGAGCATAGACAAAAGGATGTGTCAATACAACATATATATTGTTCTTGTTCCCTCGGTGTTTTTGGAAACACCATTTCGGTATATGTATGAAAGGAAGGGGGCGTTACTTGCATCACCGGTTGGATGACATGCCTATAGGGTGGAGTCGCGTGTGAGTTTGTTGGCAGTCAAGCATCAGCTGCGTCGGAGCAATTTCTGTGACTGAGGTGGACGTTGCCAATAGTGATTTCTTGGGAGTAGTGGAGTGTGTCGCAGAACACTGCGGTGTGATTGGCATCACTACGCGTGTCGCTGAACGCAATTTGCAACCTACGTGCGGTGTATACTTAACAACGCCTTCATTTGTGCAGGCTTGTATCGTTTTTCTTCATTACATTTTTATATATCTTCTTTATATGTCAGCCAGGTATGCAGGGAAGTCACCACGCACGCTTTCACAAGATGCATTACAGTACTACTAGACAGTTTGTACTACACATGCTTCCTGTTACTGGTTTTCTATTTACTCATCTATTACCTTGCTTTTAACCTACCAATTTTGGTTAGCAAAACACTTTAACATGTGGGCTTATCTGGTCCTATAGTTCTGAATTCCCTGTTTGAACCCATAATATATAGTTATTGATATCCTTCTAAATTCCTTTTGATTTCTAATGATGTCATGTAAATGTGCTTGAATTCCAATTGACTTCCGACAAAAATATGTGTTTGAGGGTGTTGCATACATAAAGCACTGTATATAAAATAGCTAATTATATACGATGTTTTTAAGCCTACCAACGCCTGCTGCCTGCTCTCCATTATTTCCTACCCAAAGCACCTCATGAATCACTCACTTTTCAAAAGGTCCTTGAACTCTCCGAACCATATTGCAGCCACGCGAGCCAGATTGTCCTTTCCGGTCAATTGAATTAACAACAATAGAAGTCTCAACAGAGTATGGGAAGCTTCACAAGACAGCAGGGAAGCTGCACAAACATATGCATCTGGAGATACATTCCTTTGAACATGCTATGGTAGAAACTGATATATTACTAAATTATTATGTGTTGTTTTGTTTCAGTGTGATTGAACCCAAGCAACCTGCTTGTGCATCCTTGCGCTTTAAGCTACCAACTTGATGCAAATCGAGCGTCTGTTTGATGTTTCAATTTAAATCGCGACAGAGTTCTTGGATCTGAATCCACTCGCCACATGTGCCTTGACTGAAACAAGTCGAGCACAACCAAGTTTCAACATCAATTTGAGGCAAACAGTTCTGCCCATTTTCGCAAAGAACACCAAAGATGCAGTTTTGAGGGTCGAACACGCTATGGAGTCTTCCCATACAGGAGGCAAACCGAGCATGAGGTTTGGGAAACAAATGCTCACCTACGCAAACGCATACAAGCAAAGTCAACATAAAAACATATCTTTTAAAAAGGCAAACATTTAGCATAATGCGTATTCCTCATAAAGCACTCTTCTACTTCAAGCCCCTGGTTGTGATCACTATGGGAGTTCCTGGAAGCAGTAGTGGGTGGATTTTACCCATAATAGGCGGACATGTTTGCCCAAGAAGTTGTTCTAGGTGTTGTATAGGATTAACTACCTAGTATACAAACACACAATTTTTGTTTGCTTTCTCGGGGACATGCCTGCACGCCTATGACATGGAATGACCATCAACTGTGACTTGGCCGAGTTGCGCAACATGACTGGACTTAGCTCGCAGAATATCTCCACCGCAAAGCCACGTTCGCAAAGACTGATCAGTGTTCTCTCCCCCCCAGCCTTGCAACAAGTGCAAAGACCATTTTCAGAGGAGTCTTCAATCATAGGAAACGCGCGCCTCGCATCCCAGGATCAAAACCTCCCGAGTCTTGCCACCACTTCCGCGTTGTGGCAACAAGACCGCCACTGATGACTGGTATAAAGTCGGACTCGTCATCATACCTCAACTTCAAGGAACCACAGAAGTAAAAGGCAATCAAAGCAGGTAGAGTTAAATGAGACTCTCTGTGCTGTCCAGAAGCCACCAAAAATCAGCGTTGAAGTTGATGTAGCCTGAGACCGTAAGAAACAGCCCTGAAGTTGCGGTGACCATCCAAGATCGATATCCAAGACACATTTTGCTGTGAGTGGGCCATGCACCTTGCCAAAAAGCACCGTCAGCAGAGAATTGAAATGCTTGATTTGTGCACCAAAACTAAATTGCGTGGTATTAGTTTCTAGTGGGTAATCGCTTGGCAAAAATTGACTGAACAAAAACAAACATCCAAAGTGTCCGAGGGCTGGGATATACGTGAGTGTCAATTACTCATACAGTAAATATAATTCAATATTATGCACCTTTTCTTGGGCCACAAAAAGGGCTGCAATAGTACCATGCACTCTTCATGATGCAAATGATGCGATACATCTATGCTATGAACTAAGTGGAAAATGGTTCGCACTCCTTCTTGGCGAGGTGAGACTTCAAAATGCTTCTTTGAACTCACTTTGCCACCATAGTCCATTTTCCTCATTCAATTCTTGTTTCTCTTTCTCGTCTGAATTTACTCATTGTTTCCAGGAACTGGGTTCCTAGAGATTGTTGGCCTTACATGTGGTACATCTGGATGTTTTGTCTCCATTGAGAATCAATCCACTGTGAATTCTCCCGGCGAAGTGCTTGAGTAGATCTATCTGATGTCCATCATCTTCGTTTTCTCTGGCCATACTCAAGTTCTGTGAATTGGGCTAGAACCTTCCCACGATTGCCATAAGCGCTTCTCCACATGATGATAAATTTCCTCAACGTGTTTTCCATAAGCCTATCGAGTTTCCAAAGTGCAAAGATCACTGCTGCTGCAATGATCACTAGTATCAAAAATTACCAGTTGTCATTGGAACCTTTCATCTCTTCCAATTTCATACCTCCCAATCCACACTGGACGTTGTCTTCCTCTTTCAGGAATGCCTCTGTAGCCGCTGGCTGCAAGCCCTCAAAAGCAACCATTCTGACAATCATTCTGGCAATCTTAGTGACCTTTCCTGCAAAATTCTTCTTCTCTTCCAAACCTCTCTATTCTCCTACTCTGACTTGGTCTTCACTGTGCCAGTAGCCAACAAGGTTCATCAAATATCTATTTCTCTGTCCTCCAAGTGGCTTTGCGTTGAAGTCTGCAACGTTGCTATCTGTTGGCACCTGTACCATCTTGAAGTCTTTTCTGTTCTGAGTCCACAGCAACTTTCCATACAGCAACTTTCCATCTAAGTGTCTCACTTTCCCAACTTCTCTCTTTGTCACAAGTTGGCGCACGCTTGATGAACCTGTGAAGATGCAACGGTCCACCTTTGTCGCGCGAGCAAATTCCAGAACTGCTCTGATATAGATTCCATCTGGTGCTGAGGAAACTATTGCATGTAACGCCGCATGTAGTTCTGCTTCACATGAAGATAAACTGATGACCTTCTGTGTTCTGCTGCTGTTGAACTATTCAATGCGTGGAATCCTCCTGATGTTGACTTTCTGTGGCCTTTGTTTCCACCCCAGTCTGAATCTAAAAGTCTCCAAGCACCAATAGCTTTCTCCTTTCTTGGCATAGCCTTCTCCTGCTTGTGGAAACTCAACTACTAGACAACAGTCCATAGTATTCCCCTTGTGCCAAGAATTCTTCAAGTGACGCAGTGACATAGCTGTAGGAGTTGGCTTCCTTGAAGCCACCTCCTTCACTGTAAATGCTACATCATACCTCTCTTGACATAAGTAGATACCTGTTCCAACAATGCTTCTGAAACGGCTAATCTTCTCTCGCTCACGCAAGACTTCTGACTTGTCTTCATCTGGATTGAGTTGTCTTCTGGTAGTTGTTGAAGTTTGACCAATCCAACCTGCTCTTCATAGGCTTTCAACATCTGCTGGATATAATTTGGAAGAAAGATTTCATTGATGTACTTTGAGTCTCCTGTGAAATTAAGTCACCCACATCCATGGATCAAAATGATGGCAATGATGTAGAGGGAAATGCTTTCACCTTGTCTTCTCATCTGTAAAGAGAACTTTCTGCTTCTTACTTGGTGTCCCTTCTCCACTTGGCTTCCTTTCACCTCCATCTCTTTTCATTGATTCAACAGGGGTTTCCAGCGGGGCTGGAACCCCCTTTCCTTCTGGGAACAAGGGTTCTTCTTTTTCTGAATCACTTCCTCCTTCCAATGCTTTCGCCATGACTGCTCCTGCGCATTCATCTCTGAACTTCAGCGTTGCACGCTCCCTGGGAATGCCTGCCTGCGCCACCCGGCAACGCTTCTGCTCTTCTCTTGGTGGCAGTGATTGTGCCTCCAAAGTTGGTTTGATACCCCATGAACATGCATTGAAGATCATTGAAGCTTTGGTAAATGGGTAAGTTTTTGGGCCAATCTTGATCTGTTCTTCTGACGCATTTAGTGAGCGCTACCTGCGCTCCATCTTTGGAAGTGCAATTTTCGTGGCAGGCTTAAGGAATCGTGAGGTTGGGAGGGATCCAAGTCTTGACTGCGCATCTTCAATGAATGTTCCTGCAAGCTTTCTCACCCTGTCAATTGTGTAGTTGACCAACCTGGTTGGTGAGTCCTAGACTATGGAAAGCGTTGATCAGCATCTTGAGGATTAGCCTTGTTGTGGGTTCATTGTTACCACTGTAGGTAATTGTTGAATACCCCAACCAAGAAATTCATCAAGCCCTGCGCAATAAGACGAAATTGGCCTTTGCTTCCTGACGGCGCAACATGAATGAATCCAGTTGGGCTGTCAATTGCAACTAACCAACGTACTGCTCTTGCTGACTTTGTGTCTGAATCTCTTGCTCTTGTGTAGCAAAAGTCAAAGCTTACCTCAGCAATACTTCCTCTCTTGACTCCATCTGTTCTCTCATTGCTCGGTTCAACGCGCTCCTTACACCAATTGGCATAGGGCACGTGTGTCAACCTGTGCCTTGCTTGAGTTGCTTCACCTGGCATCTTTGCAACACTTTGTCCCAATGCCTCCCGTGTTTCCTGAGCTTTTGCTTCACCCACCAAGCTTTTGGCATTCAACAACTCCACCTTCTTGTTGTGGTTGAGGATCTTGGTGTAGACCTTTAGCTTAGAGCCACTGCCTGAAATTCGGAGGAATGAGCAAGCTTCTCTCAGAGTTGCCAAAGATGAATCCTTAGTCAACTCTATTCCATTTACCAAGACGTTGTCTACATCCATTGGGCTCAATTGTAATTCAAACTCAAGGTCACCTTCTTTCTGGAAATCTTCTTTCTGACCTTCTACCCCCCTCTCGCTCCCTGTTCTCAAGCTTCTTATATCCTGGTGCAAAGAACCCCATATCCTCTGGCGGTGCTGGCTCATAGCTGAAGATTGTGATTGAAGGAATGACTGCATCATCATCAGAAAACTCCTCATCAAGTTCCTCCTTCTTCATCATCCTCTCACAATATTCAGGCATTAGCTCTACCTCCTCTCTTCACTAAAGTGGCCCTCATCAGCTCTGGCGATTCTTCCACTTCTGGAATGACTGTGGGATCCACAAATCTTGAAGTCAATAGGCTTCCAACTAGCAGTCCATGCTCATTGAATCCCCAACCTGATTCCTTCCCCAAAGCTTCAGGTACATGCACTGCCAAGCAGTTCGCATCTTCATCTCGAATGACTCTAGTGCGGCCTTGGACTGCCAAAGAGCGATTTTGCCAGTTGAGTGGTACCTTCAAGTCACGATTCTCCAACATTTGCTCTCTGCTATTGATTCCCCAGCCATGCTCCAGCAACCTTCCATAAAAAAGTAAGGGCTGACTCACCTTGGAACTGAAGATCACTTTCTCAAACACTTTTCGCACCTCCTGTGGGGGTACGATTTCCTTGTGCATCTTGTAGCTTGGTCTTTGTGCTGAATTGTGGTTCTCCTTCCCCGTGATCTGCCATGCTCAGAGGGAATAGTGCTACATCAGCTCCACTGCCAAAAATGATGGCCACATCCTCATTCTCTTCCCCAAAGTCTCCTCACCATGATGGGTTCAACATCTGAGATGTCAATCTCCTCAACTTCCTGGATCTCTGGCTCATCATCATCTCCAATGTGAATCACTCTGAATCTTCTAGCTCATCTTCTTTTTCTCTCAAGTCAATGCTGGTTGGCTCACTGTTCTCAATTCTTCTGACCACTGGCCTGGTCTCTTCTGAGCTTCTCCGTTGGCTCACATTGGCATGCTGTTGACCACCTGTATGAGTTGTAACAGATGCTTCACCTGAAGATGAATGGGTCTGATCACTTGCTACCTGCCGAATATGGTTTCTCCAACAGTCTTTAGCAAGATGTCCTGGCTTTCCACAAGTGTAACATGTTGCCACACCTTTGCCTTTTTGGTCTTCGCCTTCGCCTTTACCCTTGTGATCACCTTCTTTTCCTTTCTGATCTACTCTCCCTTTCTGTCCTTTATTCTTGGCATCCTTTACCATTGGCGTCTTGACCTTTACCTTCTTTACCTTTATCTTTCTGATGGTCATTCTTGCCCTCCTTACCTTTTCCGCTTCGACTCGATCAATTTCCATTGGCATAGGTCCTTGATAGTCTGTACTGCTACTAGCCACCTTCCTGAATTGTAGCCCCTGCCTTGACAGTCTCATCAAATACTTCTTCAAGCTTCAAGAGTTGAGGTTGTAGCGCACTGTTCATTGAAAATGCTGGCCATGTAGTGGCTCCTCCCAAGAGTGCCAAGCCTCTTGCCTTTGAAGTTGGGGTCCATGTCAAACTTGCCGTTTTGCTTATCACAAATTCCCTTCAGGTCCTGTGTAGCCTTCATCAACTGCACTCAAACATTTCTCAAAGACCCATGACCACTCTCTGAATGCCTTGATCTCGTCATCTTGTGACCTGTAGTCAAAGATATTGGGCTTTGCGATCAATTTTGAACTATCTGGTGTTGATGACTTATTGTCTTCAACCGCTTTCTTCACTGCCTCAGCTGCTGATGTTGTTGCCAACGTACTCTGTGCTATAGTTTGAAAGGATGTCTCTGATCTCCTCCATCTCCTCCTTGTACTAGGGTCTCTTTGGCACAATGTACTGGGTACAGAGTGTTGCTCATAACAATTGTTCACCAGCCCAGCTGCTTAGGTTCCAAAGGCCCCAAATTCATGGCTCTAAATTCTAAATTGCGCCCGGGATCCCAGTGACCTAGGGGATTTTCACTCAGAGCTCCAGAGGGGTTACCTCCTTCTCAGCTCCGCTACCATACGCACCTTTTCTTGAGTCACAAAAAGGGCTGCAATAGTACCATGCACTCTTCATGATGCAAATGATGTGATACATCTATGCTATGAGCCAAGTGGAAAATGGGATGCTCTGCTGGAGGTCAGAGCGGAAGTCTGGTCAGGTGCAGCCTCTGCCCAGGCCCACAATTGAATTTGAGAGAGGCAGGGGTGAACGAAGGGTAGCTACCAGGTAAGCAAGAGTGGGCTATTCGTTGAGATTGAGAAAATGTATGAGGACGAGGGTGGACTGGATCCAGGAAAACTCCCCCCTATCCTTACTGAGGCCTCTGATTTCATTGGACAATCCCAGCTTCCCACTATAATACGTTTTTGCTCACCGTTAAAGTTCCCCATTGTTCTTCTGTGTTGAACGCTAAGCAAAGGCATGCAACAACCAATTTAGTTACCTATGCGAGGTTGAATGTTTTTTTGGAACCCAGAAATCATCGGAAATCCTGCGAAGGGAGTATATAAATAAATGGAGACAACATGTTTTACCAACAAACAGGGTGGACTGTATGGACCATGCATGCTAACAGGCTAACAAACACCAAGGGGTGAATGATTCACAACACGGCACGAAGGTTTTCACTGCCTTAACAGTGTGTCTGCATTGGCCGTCAGCCAGGGAAAGGAATCACCCAGCAATGTTCAATCTCAAAACAGCATTGTGCTCAACTACAGTTACCGAACCCTTTCATGGCTTTTCACAATTGACTTCAGCCTCTAGATGAAGTGTAAAAAGGAACCGTCCACTGCTCTCAGCTAACAGCAGCTCAATCAACTTCAAACATCACTCATTACGAGTACTAGTCTTTCTCTCCACATCTTACAAAACAAAACGTCAATGACCTAATCTAGGCCCGCTTTGGCCAAACACGCAGTAGCCTTGGCAACAAAACTTCTCACCCGCTGCGCTTTGCTGCTATCGCCGCACCTTCTCGTCCCAGGTATCCAAGTCCAAGTCTGCCTGGAATTCTGACAAATCTCAAGAAGATACCCTCAAACAAAAAGCTGATGTTCTATCTCTTCTTGTGGCTTCGTTTATCGAGGCAAACAACCTCGAGCATGTCTGAATTCTTAATACATCCGTCGACCTGCCAGCGGGGGAGCGCGCCAGAGGACACTGCCCTGTGTCGGTTGTCCGACATGGTTGTCGATCCTTTACGTTCTGCATGCGTTTGGCAATGCTTGGGAGCGAGAGGCTTTGGGGATGTCTTTCTGCGTGCGAGAGGTGTTGAGCGAGAGGCCTGGGAGAAAGACCTTGGACATATTTGGACATAGACTTTTTGCTGGCGAGCAGCTTCGGGAAGTATTTATCCGCGTGGAAAGAGATTGGTTCAATTCGGGGCGAGGGGGACGCTCAGAAGGCTGTTGAAGTGGACTTGAGACCGGTTTCACACGCAATGCATGCTGCTTCTATAGAAAACAATCTAATAAACACCATCGCGGCTGTGAAACACACAATGTCTCCTCTCAACTTTTCTCCTCACAACCCCAAGATAGGCAGGTAAGCCTTGATAGCCAGGAGTTGGTCCTTGCGACGGGAGATGATGGGAGCCATCTGCGGGTTCTTCAGGGGTGCTTGCGAACTCTTGCCCCAGGTGTGTGGATTGCGGTGATTCGGAGAAGAAATGTATCATAGAAAAGAAACCACAGTTGCTCAAAATGTCTATCTGTTTGGATCAATTAGTCAAGGAGCAGAAGACTAAGGACCAAGGACAGCGGATCAGGACTCCAGGCAGGAAATCAATGAGATTATATAGAAAGTAAAAAGCGGAGAGTGATTGAAAGTGTACTTTAATCTTTAGGTCGCATATCTCGCTTAATGATCTTGCCAAAGGAGGCCAAGCGGCTGATCCGCTAGTTGGCCGAGCAAAAGTTTCCCTAAATTCTAGGAACCAAATCATTGAGGCTCAGGCTTCTTCAAAGAAGCTGAGCCCTAGGCCAAGTCCAAGCCTAAGAAGCTATGAAAGGTTAGCTTAGTTGCTCATTTACTCACTCACTCACTCACTTCCTTGCTTACTGACTGATCTATTTTTCCTAACACTAGCGGCCCCCGAGGGCAAACATTCATTGTAAAGATCGTGACTTGTCGCGGCATCTGGTCATTCCTCCTCCCACTTTTGTGGGGCGAAGCCAGGAATTAAACAATATCTTTCTTTCAATGGGAAGGGCGGGACAAAAATTGGTATGTTGAATTGTTGACTGTTGAAAACAGGGAGGGTCAATATTGAGAGATGGCCATTGGCACAGCTAAATCGATTCTGAAAGTCTGAGCCGATCTACTGTAAATCACGCAAACAACAACACCGCTCGGATCCTTCTCAGATTCGCAAAGAATAAATTTGGACGGATGTGCCTTGCTGCTTCTCTGTGAGTAGCAAAACTAGTGATTTCAAATGATTTCAATGCAATACCCTTACCATACATGCAGCCCATAAAATTCCCATACCAAGGGCTTCCCAAAGACTCCGATCTGACACAACTAACCTGCCAAGCTGCTTACTGTATTAATGCAAGTCAATCACTCAACGAGAATACAGTCGAAAACACATGTTCGATTGCACCAAGCACAAACCTGTCAAGGCATCCGTGTCTGCAGCAAGGTTGCTATCATGGGCACCACCAGGCGCCGCTCCTTTGCAGCGAGCAAATCCATGGTCTCCTGACTCTCTGACTCGCCATATTACAGGGCTAATGTGAAAAAGGAATCCTTCGCATGCGGGGTAGTGGCCGAGGTGAACAAGTTCTTGGATTTTTCAGCGATGCAACTGAGACACAAGAACAGTATAGATATAATTAGTCTATAGATGCTATAATACGTGATCATAAGCCACAATGGCAGGCTAGCCCCCAAAAAAGCAAGAAACAACATAATATTGTCTGGTCCTTGTACCAATTCACTGCCGGTGCTACGTGGCAATCGTAAAATCCAATGTAGGTTCCAGAAGCTGCATCGCCTGTGAAAGCAAACTGCATAAACTTGTCCTCTCTCTCTGCAGATTTCTCTCCATTTCACTACACTCTTGTTGTTTGTCAAAGACTGCACTTGTTGCGAAAAGAGCCTCCTGTTTGCTTGGCAATCATCAAACCAAGAGACTCTTGGTGCCTGGCAAGTTGGAATATTGCAGCGCAAACAACCCCTTGGTGCAGTGCATTTAATCACTGGGTCATGGCTGGAAGGGGCAAACGAAAACATGAGCTGAGCAGCTGAGCTGTCAAGAATCATTCTTGAAGACAGCGCACGGCTTAGCAACATTGTGGCCGAACCCTGACATTCTAGCACATTGGGCGGAAACACTTGGAGGCCAAACCCGAGTGTCTTATTGTGTTTCCCCAGCTTCCATTGCCTCAAAATCTTCATTTTGCAACGGCTTGGCACGCTTTGAAGTTTTTCAGCCATGGGAGGTGTCGAAGCATCATCTACTACGATGATCTCCTCAAGCACCTGACAAATACCACGACAGGACACAAACTGGAGAATGGTTATCGATTCCCTATCACAGACGGACAGGAAAACATCTGCTATTTTAAATCTTAAGTCATGTACATGCGCATGTGAAGAACTGACAAAAAGATCTCAGAAAAGTCAGCAACTGAGACAATACACGGGCGAGTCAAGGTCGTTTGTGGACAGTTTATGCCTCCGGGTCGGAAACCGAATGTGTAGTGGTGCTCATTTTCACTTTGAAATCCGACTTATTTATATTTTATATATATATTTTTTTTTTTTTTTTCGACCTGGTTGCCATGTAGGAGAAGACATGATGGATGTATATAGATGTCATGTGGAGAACATTGTTATCGATTTCATAAAATAATATTCGATTTCACGACGTGTCCATCAATTTCACAGCACGTTCATTGTTTTGTGCACGCTGCGGCAAGTAATGAGCTCTCGGACAAACTCTAGTGGCTGAAGTGAGAACAAGACGGCGAGTTTTCAGAGGCCGTTCCTATGGGAAAAGTCGGAAAAGGCCTGGTTGGTCAAAATTCATCAACGAAACGAGACACAAAAAGCAAACACATCTTTGGTTTGTCCCATTGCACGCAGTGCATTTGTAGAAACACAGCCAGGTTTAACACACACACATATATATATATAATATACAGATATATACAGTATATGAATTGCATTTATTTTACACGATTCTGTGATTTCGGCCTCTTGTGACAGGCACACGACTACTCGTTTGGTTTCCGACCCACAGGGAAGTTTATGCTAGGGCCGGGGGCTTCTTCCAATCGTCGACTTGTTGGCGCCCTGCCCCCACTGATACGGGTGTTGTTTGTCCTGCCTGATTCTTTAGAACATTTTAGAACCATGCCAGTTTCTGGAACATTCCAAGAAACAGCAAATTTAGGTAGAGTTCAATGAATCTCGTTTTCGATTGTTTTACAACGTTTCAGGTCAGTGACCACATCACATGCGAAAAAACATGTGAAAGAACACTCACAAAAGACTGGTGGACTCAATGTTGGACTCTGGTAGGATGTTTCGGACAGAAGCTGACCCTGAGGTAGCAGTCCTATGCAGTCCTCAATTGTACCAGCATAAAAATACAAAACTTAACTGTGTGTGTGAGAGCTTGTGATGTGAGCTTGTCGTGTTGAATTTTGTGCAACCGCGCCTTGTCCGCCTTGTATAAACTTGGAGTGTGAAGTCAATATCTGCGCGCATTATATCTAATCCCTTTTTGGAACATCTAGATGGAAACAGGACCGTGCTCCTGAGAGAGCATTGTTCAATAAGCTTGCGCTCACTTCACTCCGCTTTTCTCCCAGCCTCTTGTGGTGTTCTATCGCAAAACTTTAGGACCGTCTTCTCGGCATAGGGTTCGTTCAAACACGGCAGCACCACAGAGATGGTTCCAAGTGTTCTCTTCTCCAAGAATCTCGTAGCACCACTCGTGGCCCCAAAAACAGGATTTGGCAACGCACTTTTTGGAGACTCAAACGTAAAGCTAAACATCAAGCCATGGGCGTATAACAGAATACCAAACTGCACAAGTAGCTGCACAAATGCAACTCGGCAAATAGAGCAGCCCAACAATGTGGCAGTCAAGCCAGTCAGTGAAGTTGCAAATGTTCCCAATAGTGGACCTAGAACTGCAAGTGCTCCGACATCTTTGTCACTCTCCAAGTGTGGAGCAGAAAGCAGAAAGAGTAATGGTGCCGTCCAGCACAAAAAGCAACGTCGAATCCATCTTAAAGGTTCAGCCTTGGGCTTCACCATCCGAACCCAGGAAACAAACTCCTGGGCTCATGGATCCAAACTTGTCTTCGCTCAAGAGGCCAAAGCTTTGAACACAAAGTGTAACACTATGAGTTTGAACAAGTTCCCTATTCAGCATCCCTTTGCATGGTGATGAACCATAATTTAATTACAATACATGTCAGCATTCAAGTGGACTCTGTAGTCACCAACTAAGCACCCCAAAATTTGAGCCTCACCTGCAGGCAAGAGATCCGTCAAGTCAAGTGCTGGTCAATGTAAGCGAGTCCAGGCGTTGATTGTACTGAGACAGCACCGCCTTTTCTTTGTCACGGCACCTCCCAATTTTAGGTGGCGCTGGCAAATACTAGCATGCCGCACTGGCCGCAAACTTCATGGTGATCTGATATGTACATCGCATGTGCTGCTCCAACCCAAAGGTCTTCAAGGTGATTGAGCGTGTGAGCCAAATGAAACGGGATTTGCACCGTGAAATGATGGTCGGGCTGTGAAATCATCCGCACGATGTGCGTGCGGCCTGGGCTTCACACGGCTGACTTCCCAAGCACCTGCGCAACGCGCATGCCACTGAAATCCGCCGACCCCGCTCTATGACCAAGAACGTGAGCATGAGCGGAACGGGGACAGCGTGCTCGTGAGGTTGCGAAAATGGACGGACTTTTGACAAACTTTTGACATTGTTCATTTTTCAAGTTGACTGGGGACCGTCAGAACTTTTTTATCGGCAAAAGCGGTGTCCAGGCTGGGGTCCCGGGTTCGACTCCCCCCTGCGCACCTCTGGACCCGGTGTGGCACGCCGGACCCAATCTTGCAAGAAGAATGGTAATGCGCGTGCGCGCGCCCCTCCCCAGGCGAAGATAAGGAGCACGGGGGCGATGTGGATAGCCCCTCGCTTCGCAACGTTCGGTAGCCCCTACAATTCGGCGAAGCCGTACCGCTCTCCTAGCAAGCTTAGCTTTGCCATACGGAGACGCGCGCCTAGCCGCCGACCCGTATTCCTAGCATCACCAGGGCTCATGTGGGTTCGTCAATAAACGTCATAAACAGAAGGAAAATGATCGAAAATGGCAACTGACGAAAAAGTAGCCTCCAAACATCTAGAAAAATGAAGTGTTGAAGATGGATACAAGCTTAGATGAGAAATTTTGGTCAAGCATCATTAGCATCAGCAGAGTCTCAGCAGGAAAGATGCAAATCCTTTGGTGTATGACTAGGCGCAAAACACTGTAAATTACAATGTTTTTTGCAACATGTATGTAGTTTATGAACAATCCTGCTCGTTTTCTGGTGATGCCAATGGTGCTCGACGCAACTGCTTCCTCAAAACTTCCTCTCCTCTTAGCATACTGTCTTCTGTAGGCCCAGTGGTCGATCGGACTGGTTGACTGCATTGGTTTCGTATCAGTAGCATACGGGCCATGTTGTTAAGAGAACGAATCCAAAAGCCCACTGCATCATTTGGTGCTCCCCATGCGACCAGGAGGTATTTTGCTATTTGGCGTGGAATAAGATTGATTGAAGGTTTCTTTGCATATTGGGCACCAATGTGGTTGAGAGACACCCAGCCAGCAGGAAGCTAATGATGTTAATGCATGGTCAGATACAATACAGGATCTATTACCCGACTCAACTCCCCAGCCAAGAATCCAAGTGCGCTGGGATGATCCGATGATAGTACGTGATACGATTGCCAAAATAAAACCATACAAAGCTCCGGGTATCGACGGTTGGAGGGCCTAAGAATTAAAATTACTCCCTTTTGGGGCAATAGTGCATCTATCTGATATTCTTATCAAACAATCTGGAGCCAAGAATTTAGTCCCAATCAGGTGCTAGCCCGAACAGTCCTATTGGCTAAGACATCACAACCTAGTACGTTTTCGGATGGATGACCCATTACAATATTGGGATATATCCCAAGACTCACCTCCAAATGATTGCGGATCAGCTGCTGAATTCGTGGGGTGCAAGATGGGATCCAAAAATTGCCGGTGGCCTTCCTTTCCTTGCTGTCAAAGATATCACTATGCAACAGCAACACCTCATTGAGCAAACCCACAAGACAAATACACACTACGGAGGCTTTACTTTGGACTTAGTCAAGGCAGATAGTGTTTGTATGTTTTTGTTTTTCCTGGGTGTATTGTTTCTGTTCGAGATTAGCTTTTGTAGGGAGAGTCCCATTTTTTGTGGCAATTTCAAGAAGAGGGCCATTTAATTTTTTCTTTTTTTTTTCGTGGCTTCTGGCTTCTGTGGCTTCTGGCTTTTGTGGCTTTTGGCTTTCGTGGCTTCTGTGGCTTCTGTGGCTTTTGGTTTTCGTGGTTTCTGTGGCTTTTGTGGCTTTTGGCTTTCGTGGCTTCTGTGGCTTTTGTGGCTTTTGGCTTTTTGGCCTATCCGTCTATCTGTCTATATCTATCTATCTATATTTCTTTCTTTCTTTCTTTCTTTTTGGCAGCTGTCCTCCTTTCTCTTTTTGCATTTGCTTTTCCTGTTGTTTGCGTTGCAGAGACGAAGCCAAGCAAGCAAGCAAGCAACTTTGGATCTGGTGTGCTGCTGGGGGGGGCCCGGCACCCGCGCCTGCCACGAAATCAATGCTTTAAGGTGAACTCCCCGGTGCAAAACTTTCTAACCGAGCAAAAATGCCTCCTCTATCTATCTATCTACCTACCTATCTGTCTATCTATCTATGTATCTAAGATATATCGATCCATTTATCTTTCTATCTGTCTATCTGCAGTTCAACATCCACAAAGTACTACACCTGCCACGAAATCTGCACTTCAAGGTCCACAAAGTCTTGCGCCTGCCACGAAATCTGCACTCCAAGGCCCACAAAGTCCTGCACCTGCCACCAACTCTGCACTTCCACATCCACAAAGTCCTGCGTCTGCCACGAAATCTGCACTTCAAGGTCCACAAAGTCCGGCGCCTGCCACGAAATCTGCACTCCAAGGGCCACAAAGTACTACACCTGCCACGAAATCTGCACTTCAAGGTCCACAAAAAGTCCTGCGCCTGCCACGAAATCTGCACTCCAAGGCCCACAAACTCTGCACTTCCACATCCACAAAGTCCTGCACCTGCCACGAAATCTGCACTTCAAGGTCCACAAAGTCCTGCGCCTGCCACGAAATGTGCATTGCAAGGTCCACAAAGTACTGCACCTGCCACGAAACACGAAAAACAAAAAAATCATTTAAAAAACTTCTAAATTAAATCCGAGCCCATTTCAAGAATACGTTGATTTTGTGATTTAATGGTGACAAGGACTTCACCGTACGTCGCCTCACCCCTGCTAAAGATCTGATCCGAAAGTAAGAGCAATCGGATTTGCCCTTTAGACAATCAAAGGAGGCGTGCTGGTGCCGATACTGGGCCAGGGAGCCCTGTAATGATTTTTGCTCTTCATTTTGTAATGCTTTGAATGTCATAGATCCGGTCTTATCTTTCTTGTCCATTTGAATCAAATGTCTGTGAGCATTTCGTCGATTACGTTCTTCTTGGCGTGTAGCAATTTCTGCTTCATGTTTTGTGATCTGTAGCATCATATGTAATGCACCTAGAGTAGGTACATCGTGCGAAAGACATGGGATACAGTCGAAACCTAAAATCCAGTTTCACCAACTACAGTAGATCCATATCCCTGCGCTTGTTTAATACGATCCCACTCTTTTTGCAAGTTTATCTGGAGTTCCTGTGGGATATTTATCCATGAAGTGAATCGAAGTAACAACCTGTTCAGCTGTCGAAATAGAGAGGCGAGTCGTCGTGTTTGACGAACTTTTTGACAAGTTTTAAGAGCAGTGGGTTCCCCTGGTGGATTATAGGCTTGCGTCGGATCATGATGTATTGATTGAACTGGCGTTGGCTTGACAAATTTGGGTGGCTGGCATCTTCCTTTATATTTTGGTGCCAAGCCCTTCATCGGGTATCGACCAGGATCTGCTAAGTGCATCTTATTCAATGTAATATCAAGTGCAGTTTCAATAGCGTGAGACCAATGTTGCATCTTCTCTTCAGGTGTAGACTGGGAGTTGATGCAGGTTCTTAAAAACTGGTGTTCAGCCACCTGTTGGTAGCACTGCTCAAAAAAGACTTAGATCATCTTAGATCAATATTGAGTTCGGACCAGTCAGCTGGAACGAAGAGTCGTGGTGGTACATTTGGTTGTTGTTGAACGTGAGTGGTCAGAAAACAACTGGTCCGGTCCAACCCACATATCAGAGATATCTTGTAAGACAGGGTGGAAAATAAAGGAGTCGAATCGTGTTGCATTACGACAAGTAGGCGGCAGTTCCTTGTGTAGATGTTCTTGAGCAAACTTGAACCCCTGAATACTTCCACACACCCAAGCCCTCAAGGCTCTTATCAGGATTTAGGTTACAAAATGCTCAAGAATACAGTTATTTTTGGCAGCGCTTTGCGCTACTAAGTCCCAATGTTTGAAGAAACCATGTAAGCCCATGTGATGCTAGAAATGTCGTCCAAAACCAGCATTTTTAACATCACCAGGACGTACGTACGTATGCTCATCAAAAAACGGTAAAAACTGATGAACATGAGGCTATGTCGGTGTGTGCCATGCTGGTGATTGCGGCCACGTATTTTCGTCGTATGACTAACATCTCCGTAACGCCATTCACTTACGCAGATAATTGGACTTTCATGTCCACAGACGAGCGATCCTTGTTCCGAGCCTTAATTGGTACTCTTAATTTTGCACAGACTCTCAAAATGAAGATCGATCTAAATCGTGTGGCCGGGGAACAAATTCTGTCATGCGAGGATTTTGGAAAGGTACTGAAGTCCTATTCCCTTGGAACGACACCCTATCGAAGTTAAACTTGCTTCCTGTGATTTAGGATGCATGATGCAGTACAGCAAAAGAATTGTACTAGGCTGCCTTAACACTCGCATTCAATCGGCCAAACGACGCCTTAATCGACCCCAAAAATTGGACTTAACTATCCCCGACAAAGCAGGGAAAATCCAATCAGCTATCTGGCCATTGGCTTTTTACGGAGCGGAGAGCCAGGTCATTGGTGACTCCCATTTTGTGACCCTTC